TCCTCCTGTTAATTTCTAAAGTGTTGTTTTCAAAAATTTGGTTAAACAAGTTACTCACGATAAAATTCACAGGCTTGCTGGCGTGATAAAGCGTTTTTGCACGATTTTGTGTTGTAACAAGGACGTTTGTACTCGCACACATCGTCATATCCTCAGAAAATTTCAGCCTCCTAGCTCAACTGGCTCCCGACGGTCGCTTTTATGCCTGTACACGTAATGCAAGCTATGCAGGTACTTATTTTACGTCTACGGATTTGCACACAGACAGCAAATATTCTCGCAAAATCAGAGGGATCTACCCGGTCAGGTTCCCGCGCTGGCATCTTGCCAACTGTACAAAATCGAACTGCATACTGCACTTGTACTTTCAGTCTGAATTTGAAATCTTTAGCTCATACAAGGACACAAAATGTGTTTGTGAAGTTTCAGTTTCTTATCTTGTCTGGTTCCCGAATCTTTCTGCCGCCAAAAAATTCACGTGATTTTTTCGGACATCCGTACTTGAGACTCAGAAGTACATGAATGACGACTTTAAAAATGGAGCACCGCAGTTAAGTGACTTTTCATATGCAGCACAAGCTTTCTGTGGCGACTTCTTCTTTGGACTTTTCGTGAGCTTTCCACGATAAATGTGTTGGTCCATGCAAGGAGTAAGCAGTACGTACAAGTATCATTTTGTAGTTCATCATCGATAAAGAAGCACAGAACTTTATTAGAGACCAAAAGCGAATTGAGTATCAAACAGAGCAGTGTTCACTGTGCGCATGGCAATCCCAAACAGCTCACAGTTGTATCGGAAGGAACAGGTGCAAGCACCCACCTGCCGTGTTTTTCCCTGATAGCACATATCAATAAAGTACATGCCCAACCCTTTCTTAATAGCATATATTATCAAGAAGGTCAATGTGAAAACATAGATTCGATCACAGCAGTTACCAGTTTCAACTGTGAGGTGTTAAGTTGCATTATCACGCGGTAAGCCAAGACAAAGGTGCTAAATTCAGGCACTAAACTGAGCATAAACTAAAGAAAAGTTTAAAAAAAAAAGATTTTTAAAATCACCAAATCCTGCTAAAATTGGGTAAAAGCAGATTTTTTTGAATTCACGGCTAATTTGAAGTTTGACTAGAGGTCATTTTTGAATAAACAACGCCTTGCTGTAGCAGTTTTGGGCTTTTTCTTCCATCTAATCTGGAGTAGTTGGTTCGAGATATTTTAGGACTCTTATATTTCACTTCCAGGTAGTGCCTGACTGGTTGAGCATAAAACTGTCATTTTTCACGGCTGGTCCATCAACGATTTATGCTAATAAATGATTTCGCTGTAACCAGGAAGGTTTGCTTAAATAGATGACCATCCCGCGAGCATCCCAAACTGCTACTGCTCGCCACCTTCGTTCGTCTGGGTGATAAATCATTGGCAGGTGTCCGGACAAACGAGGAAGATTTCGGTGTTTTATGCTGCGAGCATGACGTCACATCGGGTACCAGCGAAACAACTTTTTGATTTTGAATATTTTCCAGAAATTTTGTACGTATATACCTGAAAATAGCTCAAGTGCAGACGGGCAACAGAATTTGCAGAGATTGAAAAAAGAGATAACAGTGGTCCTGCCTCAACCAAAATCTAGACCAACGAAGATTTATGAACTCATGCACTCGAGTCAACTTCTGATCTCTTAACATTTTACGTAATGAGGGTAAGCGCATTCTTTTTGAAAAAATGCACTCATTCCAAGTGTATTCTTTTTCCAGATTTATGAACTCTTCGAAAAATGCGAACCGATAAATGTGCAAAAATCGTTGATCCTAAAGTCGATCAATTAAAAGAACTAAAATTAGCACCCATTCGGCTAGTAACAAGTGATAATCCACATGGAAGGAAAACAAACAGAGCCAAGAAACATTAAATTCAAATTTCTAAACTGACTGGAGCAAAACAGTTGGTGTTTTTCAAAAATGAATTTGGGAAAAATTAAATAGTGTGTTACACTACTAAAAAAAATTCGGGCCCAAGCATCTTATTGTTTTGTGGGATTGGCAACGGCGACGAGACGGTGTTGAGGGTATAAGCGAATACAAGCCCTGATAGCTTCAAACTTATCGTGACACAAGCTTGGGTGTAGCAGATCAGTGTCAGCGCAATAACGAAATTATTTGAAGCCTTCTGTAGTCTCAAGGAAATATATAAGAGCTTTAAATTATAAATATTTCAGCAAATTTCACAGCACCGTCGATATCCCCTGAAGGTATCGAACCGAAAGGACTGTGCCACTTTTTCTATATCGATTTTCCGTAGACAGTGATATACAGATGTGAAACGTAGCCACTGACGAAAGCTAAAGAGCGAACGCTGGTTGTAGCACAACGGAACGAAGAATGCTTGGTGTGTCATTTTGCGACTATTCTCCGCCAGATGATGGGCATATAGGATGTCAGGGTAGTTACATGAGTTAGTAGAGTTCGATGGGCAGGAAATCTTGCTCATTTTTGTGATAATTAGTGGACATCTTGCATTAGTGAATGGTATAAGTGAGGAAATAAATGACCGGTTGGACCGTCTCAGCAGAAATGATATACATATATCAAAGATGTGGTGAGTGCTGTCTGAAGATGCAGCCCAGGATCAAAGGAGCTGCGTAACTGCGACCAGCGTGTGAGGGAATTCCAGTAGCATCACTAGCATGGGATATCACAGCGGCTATTCTAACGACCCTTATATTCTTGGTAATATACTTTAACTGTCCACTAAGCCCCACATTTTTAGTAGAAAACGAAAACTGTGTCGTTCAAATTGCAGAACTGAAGGAAATGGACGATGTACCCATTGAAAATCAGATGCATAATCGGGCTTTTGCCATTCCAGAGCACACAAAGCACGATATCCAGAGCATTGAAAATCACTGTGTAAGGCACGTAGTAAGGCCTCAGGAACATGAAATAGGTTGATACACACACCGTATAACCACCGTTAATGACCACTTGTAAAGTGAGCAGCGTGTCTCGTCGCCGAGAATTGTCACTAACCTTGCTCCTTGACGACCAACTCTAAAATTAAGTATAATTCACTCCTGCCAGCACTGATTTCGGTTCTCTTATTTTAAAAATAGTATGCACTTTTATTATATATTTTTTTACCTTGTAATCACTAGAATACAAAGAACACCTAGACAATCGCTGTGAGGATTGCACGTGACAGTAATTTTACTGGAATGAAAAACTAGGTTTTAAAAATTCCCGTTTCTTTTATACTTTGGATTCTGTTTGAAAAAAATAGAACGAAATTGCCGGATGTGGATTTATAGACAACAATTTGCCATAGGGAACTCCTGCATGAACGCTTCGTGCAGAAAAAAGCATAAAATTAGCAGCAGCGCACAACAATTGTCGATTTGATCATACGTTTTTGCACTACAATGGAGCAGTCAGATCGTTAACAGTATGAATGGTAAAGACCTCGATGAATGCTGGTTCCTCAAACAGAACCCAAACTGCAAATACAGAAAGTTCTGGCCCCTTGATTAAAAAGGTGCAAAGACGCAGTTGTTTGCCTAATTTTAAATAAAATTCTCAAAGAGGCAATGGAACTGACCTTTCGAAGAACAAAAATCAGAACAAGGACATAGCAGAGAGTGGCAAGTATGCTGGTAGCCAGAGTGGTCAACCGATCATAAGAAGGCATAAAATCAGGGCTATCGTATTCCCACATTAACAATTCGGCATCGAAACCATAGGTTGCATATGGTGTTAACCAGACTAGTGAAAATGCTGATGGAATTGCAATTGCGAAGAACAGGATAAGCTGAAATTTAATGGCACCAACGATCATTTCGTGCGTAAGTGGGAATTATTCACTGCGAAAAGTTTTTTGGAAACAGAATGAGTGGACGTCCTTTACATCTTAGACACTGTCAGTTACTGATGGTCGGCGGTTGCCAGCCGTGTGAACAGTATAAATCCCAGCTAAAATTCGCTTTCGTAGTAACTATATATAAGTTTCCTCTTTATCCTCTTTCCTTCCCCTTCTTTCTCTTCACGCTCTTGCTTCCTCACTCCATTCTAATTTCTTAAAATTTCGTTCTAGAGCGGTTTCCACAGCAAGAAACGAAGCACCCTAAGATTTTCCGTGATTTTCTGTTAGTTCCACGACCCATCGTGAATTTGGTGAATAGCCGGAGTTTATGAGCCCACTTTTAATAACCGGAGTTTATGAGCCCACTTTTCATCGAATACGAAATCCTCAAATTGGGCTTGCGTTTGCCTTTAAATGAGCTGCGATTTATGAAATCAGGCTTTGTAGCTGTAAAATCCCGCAGAGCAAGACTCTCAAAAATCATTCAAAGCAGTTTTTGTGTAAACAAATTGACCATTATTTCCAGTTGAAATTTAAAGCGCACAGTGGGATTGACGACACACATTGTGCATTAAAATTTAGGGTTTCGAGCTTACTTCTCACACAG